CATAACACTGCCCCTAATTACATCACCGACATTGTCTCTACATACCACCCAAACCGTACTCTCCGCTCCTTGAAAGACCTCCTACTCTCTAGCTCCCTTGTCTCCTCCTCCCATGCTCATCTCCAGAATTTCTCAAGGGCTTCACCCATCCTCTGGAACTCCCTACCCCAATCTATCATGCTATCGTCTACTCTGCTCACTTTTAGGTGCATTCTGAAAACCCATCTCTTCAGGGAAGCCTACCCCGACCCCAGCTAATATTGGAATCCTCTACTCTTCCTACCACTCCATCCCCCACAGCTAATTACCTCTTGTACCACTATCCCCTCCCTCTTAGATTTTAAGCTCCAAGGAGCAGGGCCCTCTAATCCCTCTTGTATTGAACTGTATTGTTACTGTACTGTCTCCCTCCATAATGTAAAGCGCTGAGCAAACTGTCGGCGCTATATAAGTCCTGTATAATAATAATAATAATTTCTGGCAGTTCAAGAAGTATTTTTCTGTACTCATAAGGTAAAGTGGTTCTGAAGGCACAAGGTTTTTTACCTTCATGCATTCAATGCGCAGCATCCCCCTCAGCCCCCCTAAAACTCACATAAGCCCCCTCTTGATTCTGAGCTATCCAAGGACTCCATCTCCTCATTGGCTGAGACAGAAGCAGGAGCCATTGGCTCTCACTGCTGTCAATCACAGCCAGTGAGCAAATGAGAAGAGAGAGGGGTGGGGCCGAGCCACAGCTCTGTGTGTGAATGGATACACAGAGCATCGGGTGCCCCCATAGCAAGCTGCTTACTGTGGGGGCACCCAACAGGAGGGAGGGGCCAGGAGCGCCAGTGGGGGACCCGAGGAGAGGAGGATCTGGGCTGCTCTGTGCAAAACCACTGCACACAGCAGGTAAGTATAGACATGTCTGTTATTTTTTAAAAAGTAAGCCTTTCAAATCACTTTAAAGGGAAGCTATGCATATATTGCAAAGATGTACTGCATATCAATATATATATTTTTTTTTTTGCAAAGATGTACTGCATATCAATATATTTTATTTCCTTCATCCCTGTTTAGGACAACACTTGCTACAGCAGTTGATTTCAGAGGTTAAGAACGGGCGTATCTTAGAGATGTTGCGGAGGTTGGGCTGAAAGGACAGATGGGAGTCTAGGATTACACCTAGTGCCCTGGCATAAGGGGAGGGACTTATGGTTGTATTATTGATCTTGATGGAGAAGTCAGGGGAGGGGGCACGGGCTGGAGGGAATAGTATGAGTTCCATTTTGGAAAGATTTAGTTTGAGGAAGTGGAGTGACATCCATGCTGATATGTCCCTTAGTAGGTTAGTAATGCGAGAGGAGACTGAAGGGGTGAGGTGAGGAGTAGAAAGATAGATTCGTGTGTCGTCAGCATAGAGATGGTGCTTGAAGCCATGGGAGTTTATCAAGTGACCAAGGGAGGAGGTGTAGATGGAGAAGAGAAGGGGTCCAAGGACAGAACCTTGAGGTACCCCTACAGAAAGAGGAGTGGAGTGAGGAGACAGAGTTATAAGTAATGCTGAAGGAGTGCTGCGATAGGTAGGAGGAGAACCAGGAGAGAGCAGAGTCTCTGAGACCAAGAGAGTGCAGTTTTTTGAGGCAGAGGGGATGGTCAACAGTATTAAAAGCCACAGAGAGGTCAAGTAGTAAGAGTATGGAGTAGTGGCCATTGGTTTTAGCAATTAGTAAATCATTAGTGTGTTTTAGTAGGCAGTTTCAGTGTAGTGAGCGAAAGCCAGACTGTAGAGGGTCAAGAAGGTTGTTGTCAGTGAGGTTGTCAGTGAGGTAGGAGCTCAGGCGATTGTAGACTAAGTGTTCTAAGAGTTTAGAGGTAAATGGGAGCAGGGAGATGGGTCTTAAGTTGTTCAGGTTGGTGGGGTTCAGCAAGGGCTTTTTAAGTATGGGAGTGATCTGTGCATGTTTTAGAGGGGTGGTAAAGGCACCATTACATAGTTAGTCTGGGTGAAAAAAGACAAAAATCTACCCATTAAAAAAAAAAAAAATAATAATAATAATCCTACACCCACAGTTGATCCAGAGGAAGGCAAAAAGAAAAAAACCCAGCAAAGCATGATCCAATTTGCTCCTGCAGGGGAAAAAAATTCCTTCCTGATCCCCTGAGAGGCAATCAGATATTCCCTGGATCAACTTTTAACTATAAATGTAGTTAGTATCCAGTTATATTCTGTGTATCTAAGAAAGCATCCAGGCCTTTTTTAAAGCAATCCACTAAGCTGGCCAGAACCAACTCTTGAGGGAGTCTATTCCACATTTTCACAGCTCTCACTGTGAAGAAACTGTTCCATGTTTGGAGATTACATTTCTTCTCCTCCAGACGTAAAGAGTGCCCCCTTGTCCTCTGTGATGACCTCAGGGTAAATAACTCTACACCGAGTTCACTATATGAACCACTGATGTATTTATACATGTTGATCATATCCCCCCTTAATCTCCTCTTCTCAAAAGAGAATAAATTCAGTTCCTCTAATCTTTCCTCATAGCTGAGCTCCTCCATGTCTCTTATCAGTTTGGTTGCCCTTCTCTGTACTTTCTCCAGTTCCCCAATGTTCTTATTGTGAATTGGTGCCCAAAACTGAACTGCATATTCCAGATGAGGTATTACTAATGATTTGTACAGGGGTAATATGATATCTCTCTCTCTCTGGGGGTCTATACCTCTTTTAATACAAAAGAGGATTTTGCTCGCTTTAGAAACCACAACTTGGCATTGCATGCATGGGCATATTTGCCGCAAGGCAAACAAGGCACTTGCCTAGGGCGGCACTTTTCAGGGGAGTGGCACTGCACCTCGGCAAGTGATGTCACTACAGCAGAGGAATCCAGTGAGGAGTGGGAGTATCAGGCCTCCCCTGGACACTGCCGTCCTCCGGGATCATCTCTCAGTTCTGGCTTCTCACCGCTATCCACTGCGGAGAGCTCCGGGAGCTCCGACCCTCAGAGCAGCCTACAGCCTGGCCAGGCGCACTACATATTGGGAGTTGTAGTCTTTTCCCCGCCTCCTACCTGCTGCCTCCACAGGAGCGAACTACAATTCCAGCAGGGTGTGCGTCGGAAGGACTACAACTCCCAGCATCCAGTGCGCCCGGCCTGGCTGTAGGCTGCTCTGAGGGTTGGAGCTCTCCACAGTGGATGGCGGTGAGGAGCCAGGGCTGAGGGATGATCCCCGGAGGACGGCAGTGTTCAGAGAAGGCAGGAATCTCTGTCACAGAGAGGGAAGGGAAATGCGGCTGTGAGGAGGATACATACCGGCAGTACATGGTTCCCCCCCTCAGTCTCCACCCCTCCACCAGGCCTGGTGAGTGATCTCCATCCTGCTACTCTGTATACCATGTATACTATTGTGGGGGGGGCAGAGAGCTGACAGAGACTGACCAGAGAGAGACTGCCAGGTGACTGACTCATACAACTAACTGACACCTTCTTGCTGCTCATAGCACTAACTGACACCTTCACGCCGCTCATACCACTAACTGACACCTTCACGCCGCTCATACCACTAACTGACACACCTTCACACCGCTCATACCACTAACTGACACCTTCACGCCGCATACCACTAACTGACACCTTCACACCGCTCATACCACTAACTGACACCTAACTCATACCACTAACTGACACCTTCACGCCGCTCATCATACCACTAACTGACACCTTCACGCCGCTCATACCACTAACTGACACCTTCACGCCGCTCATACCACTAACTGACACCTTCACACCGCTCATACCACTAACTGACACCTTCACGTTCGCTCATACTACTAACTGACACCTTCTCCCGCTCCTACCACTAACTGACACCTTCTAGCCGTTCATACCACTAACTGACACCTTCTAGCCGATCATACCACTAACTGACACCTTCTTGCCACTTTTACCACTAATGACACCTCGCCACTCATACCACTAATGACACCTTCTCCCCGCTCATACCACTAATGACACCTTCTCACCACTTATACCACTAATGACACCTTCTCGCCACTAATACCACTGACACCTTCTCGCCACTCATACCACTAATGACACCTTCTCGCCACTTATACCACTAATGACACATTCTCGCCACTCATACCACTAATGACACCTTCTCGCTGCTCATACCACTATCTGACACTTTCTCGCTGCTCATACCACTAATGACACCTTCTCGCCTCTCATACCACCAACGACACCTTCACAGAAAGATGTGGTCGACCACTAAGTTCCACCCAGCAAACGTTGGTGCACTGAAGACAGTGGGGGTGCAGGGGGGGGGGGGCAATTTTTGTGTTGCCTAGGGCAGCACAAAACATAAATACACCACTGATTGCATGCCATTATTAAGCTTGTGATCTACCAGAACTCCCAGATCCTTCTCCACCATTGATTCCCCCAGTTGTACCAACCCCCCCCTAGTATGTATGATACATGCATATTCTTAGCCCCCAAGTGCAGAACCTTACATTTATCAACATTAAACCTCATTTGCCACCTAGTTGCCCAATTAAACAGTGCATTGAGGTCGGCTTGTAAGTTGGAGACATCCTGTAAGGACGTTATTCCACTGCACAGCTTGGTGTCATCTGTAAAGACTGAAATGGGATTTTTTAATCCCAGACCCTATATCATTTATATATATATTAAAAAGTAAGGGTCCCAACACTGAACCTTGGGGTACACCACTGATGACCCTAGACCATTCAGAGTATGAATCATTAACCACTACTTTCTGAATACGATCTTTTAGCCAGTTATCTACCCATTTACATACAGATTTTTCCAAGCCTGTAGACTTTACCTTACACATTAGCCGTGTGTGGGGACCTGTGTCAAACACTTTTGCAAAATCCAAGTATACCACGTCCACCGCCACCCCTCTGTCCAAGGTTTTGCTCACCTCCTCATAAAAAGAAATCAGATTTGTTTGCCAACTTACGTCTTTCATGAATCCATGCTGTTGTCTGTTGCTTAACCACTTCCCGCCCGGCCCATGTACATAAATGGCTGGACGGGAGCAGTGTAGGAGCGTCTGGATGCTTATAAACATCCTCCCGCATTCCCTGCCTGTATGTGCTCCCTGAGAGCACGCAGCACCCATCGCTGTACGGGACCTCTGTGTGAGGTCCTGATCATGTGATCACTGATTGGCCAATCAGTGATCACATGAATAGTAGTAAGCAAGTTGTCACTTGCTGACATCATTGCTTACTACTAGTGAAATCTGTGAATGATCACAGAGGTCACATGGTACAAGTCCATTCACAACAGCCTTGTACCATGTGACAAGCTGTGACCAATCACAGCTCTCACAGTATTTCTCAATGGCTGCAAGAATGCCACCAGAGAGAAGGAGAAATTATTGCTTTCACAGCCTTTTTATGGGTGTAAAAGCAATCAGTGTAAAAAAAAAAAAAAAAAAATCTTCATCACCTCCCACAAGTAGTGGGAGTAGTCGCTATGGTGACACTGTACTGCTAGGGTGACAGTATGTTAAAAAAAACCACATAAATTATAAAATAACAAAATGAAATAAAACTGTAAAAAAAATTTTGAAAAATTATCATTTTTGATTATAAACTAATTTGGGTTATTTTTTTTCTTCACTAAAAAGATAGATGAATACATTTTAGCCAAGATTTATGAAAAAATATTACTTATTTGCAAAATTTTATAAGAAAAACACTTTTTTTTCAAAATGTTTGGGCTTTTTCATTCATGTAGCAAAAAAATAAGAATCCCAGTGGTGAATAAATACCACCAAAATAAAGTTTTATCTGTCTCAAAAAAATGCTAAAACATGAATAATAATGTATGCCATCCAGTCCAGGTTCTTTATTCACCTTTATTCTGTCTAAATATTTTTGGATCATATCAATTGTGAGCCAATGTGGATCATCTGGAGCTGTGTCAATACCATGCCCATTATGGACAAGAGCTCCCCCATGCTCCTTTGTATACACAGATCTGAAGAAGGTACAGGTGAAACTCGAAAAATTAGAATATCGTGCAAAAGTTCATTTATTTCAGTAATGCAACTTAAAAGGTGAAACTAATATATGAGATAGACTCATTACATGCAAAGCAAGATAGTTCAAGCTGTGATTTGTCATAATTGTGATGATTATGGCTTACAGCTCATGAAAACCCCAAATCCACAATCTCAGAAAATTAGAATATTGTGAAAAAGTGCAATATTCTAGGCTCAAAGTATCCCACTCTAATCAGCTAATTAAGCCATAACACCTGCAAAGGGTTCCTGAGCCTTTAAATGGTCTCTCAGTCTGGTTCAGTAGGAATCACAATCATGGGAAAGACTGCTGACCTGACAGTTGTGCAGAAAACCATCATTGACATCCTCCATAAGGAGGGAAAGCCTGAAAAGGTAATTGCAAAAGAAGTTGGATGTTCCCCAAGTGCTGTATCAAAGCACATTAATAGAAAGTTATGTGAAAGGGAAAAGTGTGGAAGAAAAAGGTGCACAAGCAGCAGGGATGACCGCAGCCTGGAGAAGATTGTCAGGAAAAGGCCATTCAAAAGTGTTGGGGACTTTCACAAGGAGTGGACTGAGGCTGGAGTCAGTGCATCAAGAGCCACCACACACAGACAGATCCTGGACATGGGCTTCAAATGTTGTATTCCTCTTGTCAAGCCACTCCTGAACAACAAACAACGTCAGAAGCGTCTTACCTGGGCTAAAGAAAAACAGACCCGGTCTGTTGCTCAGTGGTCCAAAGTCCTCTTTTCTGATGAGAGCAACTTTTGCATCTCATTTGGAAACCAAGGACCCAGAGTATGGAGGAAGAATGGAGAGGCACACACTGCAAGATGCTTGAAGTCCAGTGTGAGGTTTCCACAGTCTGTGTTGATTTGGGGAGCCATGTCATCTGCTGGTGTTGGTCCACTGTGCTTCATTAAGTCCAGGGTCAACGCAACCGTCTACCAGGAGATTTTGGAGCACTTGGCACCTGCCCACACTGCCAAAAGCACCAAAACCTGGTTCAATGACCGTGGGATTACTGTGCTTGATTGGCCAGCAAACTCGCCTGACCTGAACCCCATAGAGAATCTATGGGGCATTGCCAAGAGAAAGATGAAAGACATGAGACCGAACAATGCAGAAGAGTTGAAGGCCGCTATTGAAGCATCCTGGTCTTCCATGACACTTCAGCAGTGCCACAGGCTGATAGCTCCCATGCCAGGCTGCATTGAGGCAGCCATTGCCGCAAAAGGGGCCCAAACCAAGTACTGAGTACATATGCATGCTTATATTTTTTAGAGGTCCGATATTGTTCTATGTACAATCCTTGTTTTATTGATTGCATGTAATATTCTAATTTTCTGAGATTGTGGATTTGGGGTTTTCATGAGCTGTAAGCTGTCAGGAATGGACTCAGCACTGGTGGTGGGACTCACCTGCCGTGTGGGCTGCAGTACCAGGGCTGACCAGCGGGTGCTCTCAGCAGCCAGAAGCTTACTCCTGTAGTCAGACAACACCTGGGGCTGATTTCAGGAGGTGTATTTAAGGAATGACCAGGCCTGTGTTTAGGGCCTTGGTGTATGTTTCCCATGAGCCCCTGTACTTGGTATCCTGTGTTCCTGCCTCGTTGCTGACGCTGCTTTGATCCTGACCTCTGCTGACCGTCTCCTGTTGAACCCCTGGCTTGCCTGACCATCTTTCAAATCAGGTGGTGAGTAGGAAACATTTCACTTCCTCAGCGCCTGTCAGACAAACTCGGATCACTTTTCAGAGGAGCAGCAGTGCCTGCTTCACTTATGAATGAGCCATTGGTTGCATCTGGCAGCGGCACTCTTAGGGCTCATTCACATGTAAAGTTGGGGAGTGGTAAAAACCTTGCAGTTGATTCCTGGTTTTATTGCCTCCAATCCTTGCTGCTGAGGCAGCAGCCAAAGGTGTACACATGCCACAGCAAGAATTACACCCCCTGTTGCTTTTGGTGGGTGCTACCACTTGTCACACAAGATCCATTCAAGTAAATGGGGCCAGTTTGCAAGCACCCCGCAACTGTATGCTTCTGCGGGGTCCAAGGGGTTAAAGCAGGTGGTGAGAAAGTAACTTGTGCTGTACTAGGCATAAGGTTGCAGGGCACTTGCAGAGTGGCCTCATTCACTTGAACAGGTTATGCTTGGCAGGTGCTACACCCATCAACCATGACAGTGCGTGGGAGCCAGTACTACAGAGGAGGCATCAACTTATGTGGCTCTTGCTCCCTACTACAGCTCCAGTCGTCCCTCTGCATTGCACTCTGTTTGATTCTCTGGGATGGCGGGTCAGCAAGGCCAGACCGTCATCTACCAGTCACCTGGCCAAGATCTACTGGTTGCTGACCCCAGCTCACATGATGTCCAATGCAGGGCTATGGACCCTTATTGGTCTTGATGATGTCAGGACCACTGGAGCATGGGGAGAAGGAGCTCTAGGGAGTGGTCCAACAGCAAAGGGGATCGAGAAAGTAAACTTTCTTCCCCATAGACTTAAACATTCTTCCCCATAGACCATTTAAAAGTGGAATTCTGGGCTTTCCCTTGTCTTAAAAATGCTCCCACCTCCTAACACCTATTCTGACTAACCTGTGTAAGAAAGATCTGTATTTTTAGGTCGATCTGGTCCAGTGATATGATCCCCTGTATCAGCCAGTGCCGGTGTAGCGGCAAGATGAGTCCCCCCATGAAGATGTGTCTCTCCCTGACGCATCTGCGCATGTCACGATTTTCGCCGATCACCATCCATAGCACAGAACTGCCACAGTTAACCCCTTGTAGTCTGCACCGCTGAGTACACGCACTGCTGAAGCTGATCCCACGGATCAATAGCCAACGCTCCCGCAAGATGGATCGAAGCATCATGGAAAGGAGAGAGATTGGATGCAGTAGCTCTGTGATGGCTTGATCGTCTCTGAAACCGTGACATGCGCAGATGCATCAGGGAGACACATCTTCATGGGAGGACTCATCTTGCCACTACACCGGCTGCAGGGAGAGGGAGAGAGAACATATCATTGGATAGTTTAGCGTGGGCGCCGTGACGTCGCCTATAGGTTTACTATAGCCCATCCATTGTAGGCCTTCTCTCCTTCGCCCTGCAGCAGCAGCTGGCTGACACAGGGGAGAATGATCACATGACTGGATCAGCAAACAGGCTAAAAGTAGGTAAGTATACAACTTTCTTACACAGGTTAGTCAGAATAGGTGTTAGGAGGGGGTAGGGAGAGTGGGTGACAAATTCCTCCAAAGTATGCTGTGTTTGGTATCCCTGGATACAAAATATAATTCTGAATAATAATTTTCCAGTTTCTAGAATACAACCTACCAGGGGCGGACTGACAACTCATGGGGCACCCGAGCAATAGGGGATCATGGGGCCCTGTGTCCTTGCCCAAACTCAAAAAAGCCTATGAAAAAGGTACGAGGGGCATCTCATGGGACCCCCTACTGACCCTGGGCCCTCGGGCAGTGCCCGAGTTTCCAAATGGTCAGTCCGCCCCTGCAACCTACACATGTTGGAAGATATTAATATTAGCAGCACCCAGCCCTTAAACCGAATGATTGGTCAGAGGGTCTCTGTCCACACCCCATTGATATCACAGAAAAGGGGATGACAAGGACCTGATAAGGAAGCTCTCTTTTTAACATCAACCAAGGAATACCCAAGAGAGCTATAGCAATGTTTCTGCTTGGACAATTAGACTCTGTTAAAACCAGCACTTTGCAAATATTCTCTATTTTCACCTCCTTTTATTTTTCTGTTGCATTATTTTTATTTTTATGTCCTTTTCTGTAAATATTTTAATTTCACCACTTGACCTTTTCATTATTAAGTACTATTTTGAAAAGTGTTAAAACTTTCTCTAAGGGTTTTAATGCAAACTAAAGAATCCCTGTCTCTTGAAGAGTGCTACTGATAATAATCCTCTGAATATACCTGTCTGTGGTGATAATGTGTGTTGCAGATGTTTATGCTAAAATCATAGTGTTATTATTATTATTATTATACAGGACTTATATAGCGCCAACAGTTTGCTCAGTGCTTTACATTATGGAGGGAGACGGTACAGTAACAATACAGTTCAATACAAGAGGGATTAGAGGGCCCTGCTCCTTGGAGCTTACAATCTAGGAGGGAGGGGATAGTGGTACAAGAGGTAATTAGCTGTGGGGGATGGAGTGGTAGGAGGCGTAGTGGATTCCAGTATTAGCTGGGGTCAGCGTAGGCTTCCCTGAAGAGATGGGTTTTCAGAGTGTGCCTAAAGGTGAGCAGAGTAGGCGATAGCCTGATAGCTTGGGGTAGGGAGTTCCAGATGATGGGTGAAGCCCTTTAGAAATTCTGGAGACGAGCATGGGAGGAGGAGACAA